GGCCGCGGCCTCCGCCGGCTGTAACGGGGCCTCCAGGCCACCCCCTCGCACCTCCGCGGCCCTGGCCGGGTCGGGAACGAGCAGTGAGGGGGAGGCACAGGCACGGGACAGGGAGGGAGGGGACGCCAGCCCCCAGAGGGGGAGGAAAACAACCGCTGGAGAAGGGGCAACAGCTTTACTGAAGAAGGTTCTGCTTAAACTTGAGAAGGAACTTCTTTACAGTGAGGGTGACGGAGCACTGGAACAGGCTGCCCAGGGAGGCTGTGGAGTCTCCTTCTCTGGAGACATTCAAGACCCGCCTGGACACCTTTCTATGTGATCTCATTTAGGTTCCTGCTCTGGCAGGGGGATTGGACTGGATGATCTTTCGAGGTCCCTTCCAATCCCCAACGTTCTGTGATTCTGTGATCCGGTCTCTGCTTTATAGAAACAAGAATTCCAATTAAACAGGTGACTGTTTTTTTGTTGGATAAAGGAAAAGACACAAAGGTGGCAAAACTCTGCCCCTCGGGGGAGGCTTTACTTCTGACGCTGCGGTGTGTGCTACCCTCCTGACATCACAGTCAGCGAGCTAGAAATTGCCAGAGCCCTCCCCACTGCTGTGCCAGAGAGCACCGGGATACCTGCACCCTCCAGAGTGTGGCAGCTTTTGAACCAGCACTGGTGGTATCTCAGGAGGTCAGTAAGGGCACCACCACAGCTGTTCTGCTTGAAGGGAATGACTGGTCCTGGTAAGGGGGGTGATCATAGGAAACACGTGCCTTTTCCAGACAATCTCTAGGTGGCAAGAGCCTGCTCAGCCCTTACACTAATTACATCGGAAACGTTATAAACTGATATGTAAATACTTTTTCCTCCTCTAACATCATAGCACCATTTCTAATTAACCCTCCCCTTTCTGCCCCAACAATTTCAGTCTGGGAGAGCAAAAAGCCAAAAAAGTATGTGTGCAAGATGTCTCCAGATTCTCAGCACTCGTTCAAACGGACTCAGTAGAGCTGTAAATACTATAAAGAACAATGCAAAGGCAAGGAATTACACTCAAGACTTCATTTTTTTTGTCCTTATAATTCAAGGTTTCAACAATGGATTTATTATTCACAGACAATTCACTTTGAAAGACAGTATCTAAAATAAATTATCACAGGTCCTCTTATTTGTTCAAGTACAGAGTCCTCTTCATTTGGCCTAACCAAAAATCTTTTCCTTGATATAAAACCCGAATGAACTACCTGCAGTGAAACAAAGAAACAGTTAAAAGAGTATATGCATTTAAATATTTAGAATGTCAATAATTGTAGATAGATACAAACCTTCCACTAGACCACGTTGCTCAAAGCCTCATCCAACCTGGCCTTGAACACCTCCAGGGAGGGGGCATCCACAACTTCTCTGGGCAACCTGTTCCAGTGTCTGACCACCCTCACAATGAACAATTTCTTCCAATATCTAATCTAAACCTCCCCTCTTCCAGTTTAAAGCCATTTCCCCCTGTTCTGTTATTAACTACCCTTATGAAAAGTCCCTCCCCAGCTTTCTTGTAGCCCCTTCAGGTACTGGAAGGCCGCTATAAGATCTCCCTGGAGCCTTCTCTTTTCCAGGCTGAACAGCCCCAACTCTCTCAGCCTGTCCTCAAAGGAGAGGTGTTCCAGCCCTCGGATCATCCTTGTGGCCTCCCTCCTATCACCTGTAACTTTCTTAGTTCACCGAGTTTCCTATCAGCAGCCAGACGCTGCACCAGCAAAACACAGCTGTGAGCTCAGTGGTTTTATGTTGCCCTGTCCAAGGCTGCTCTCATGACAAAAATTCATAGGGAGCATTCACAGTCCATCTTGCTCACAATCCAGGAGGTATTTTAAAGTACATTCAAGTCAGAACCGGGGCCTTAAGCCCAGAGTGCCACACAACTTAGTCCTTGATGAAGTTGTACCACAGTGAGGCCACTGAACCGCATCCTTCAGTCCTCACCACAGATGCCAGTCTATTTAGAAAGTGTTGTCTCCCTTATTATCATTTGCAAGTTATTGTGAATACTGAAGGCCACACCTAACCTAAAATCTTGTCTCCACTGGTGAGAAGTACAGAGCGCTTCAAAGAAAGGGGCAAGAAAACCTGCCACGCAGGTTAATAGATTTGCTTATTGAAGTCCAGTTAGTGATTGGTTTTATGCTGTTTCTGAAGATACAGACAGCAATGTTACTTTTCTCTGAATTCAGATTAGATTTTGGTTTTCCATTTTAGAAATATTTCCCCTTTGGCCAATGACACATTTTAATAGAGGTATTTATTTTAATTCACTTTCCATTATTTTCTTTCCATTTATTTATTATCTCTTATTCAACAAATGACTTGGAAAAGCAACATTTTTTTAGCCATTTAGCTGTTCAGGAACTATTAGTTATGAATACTGATTCCAGCAAATAAACGTGGAATGACATCTTTTACCTGATAGGAATGTATATGTGTGGATATGTAACATGACAAATTTTCCACATGGGTACAACTCCCAACTGCAGGGAAAAATGAATGCATAAACAATCCCAGTGTGGAATCCAAGCAAAAGTTTGTAAGCAGCTCCATGTGGATACACATGCATGATTTCCATATATATTCTGGCTTTCTGTAAACTTCAAGTGTCTCATTCAGAAACACTTGCAAAAAGCAAATAAAGTGAAGCAAGTTGTCATTAAACCAATCAAACTAAAATAAAGCTTTTATTTAGACATATTTCTCACCCTCTTCTTCCTTCCAAAATTCAAGTTTAGCTCCTTTTCCTACCCAAAGAAATTCCCATTAAATTTATTAGGAGTCTCCCTAACCAGAAAAACAGAGGTTGGGCTAAACACCACTAGCAAGCAAGACACATTGTATTTACATTTTGGGGACCCCCTCTCACTCACTAACCTGCTTTTGTTGGACGCTGGATTTCTAACTGTTTTGGGAGGATTCAGGCATCTTGATCTCCTAAATAGATTGAAAAATATAAACTTATGATAAGCTTAAATGTTCCCCCAAGTACTCTAACAAAATACACCGAGCAAATCAGCATTCAGTGAAACCCAGCAGAAGCAGTGTAGGAAATGAGCTGCCATATTTGCCCTTTTCTCATAGTTCTGTTTTAGCCCAAGCTACTTGAGTACTATCAACAGCTGAACAGTTAAGTAATGAATGTTCATCTTCATAATTAAAGGTTTACTGTACTTCCATTACAAATAAACTTAGAATGAAAGAGATCAAATCTTTTCCAAAATTAAAATTGGGACTTTTCTTCTGAATTGCTTATAGTTTAAAGCTATGAAATAACATGCTCTTCGTTGCCTTCTTGCTCACTGTAATCAGCATGGGTCTAGAAGATCACATACGTTCCTTTCCTTTCTCCTCTTCAGAAGTTTTCAGCTAGCTGACATTCAAAGTCTTTAGTTATCACAAGGTTAAACAAAGGCATTATTAATGCTGGAAATTATTTTTTAAAATAACAAGTATCTAAACATATTTTCATCCTACACAAAAGGCAGCAGAATCATTTTAGCTACAAATCTGATTTCTATTTTATTAACACTTCTATTTAAAACCAAAAAAGTTTCTCAGTGTGAATGTCACAGATCTCAAATTGGCCTAACACTGCAGCAGATGGAGGAAGCAAGTGAAGTGGGGAAAAAGTGAAAGCCAGAAATGGATACAACAAGGTAGCGCAGAACTTTCAAAAACATGCCAAAGATACCCTTTATCTTATGCAGCAAAAATTAAAGTCAAGGAGAGATAATGCGAAACAGATTATTAGAACTGTGATGATAAATCATCTTTAACATTCAGAACATAATTTCAGTAAAACTAAGCAAAGATGTACTTTTTAATCAGTTCACTCTGCACTGAAACGTTGGTACACACGAGATCCTTCTCCTCAGTGGGACTTCTCTCAGTACATTTGAAAAAATGACAGAGTAGTAGGCTTATTTCTTTTAAATACAAATTCAGATACTAACATACACACGTGCTCACCATTTCTTGGCCTTCCTTGGCTACCTTCATCTGTTCTGGTATCATTTTCTTCAAGCAGCTACTTAGCAAAAAGGCCTAAAGAGGATAAACCAAAGAACATTCTGATTTCTTCTACTAAAAGATGTAGTTGACTCTTCTATCCCTCCTCCACCAGAAAATTACAATCCCTAACTACTGAACTATTACTTCCCTAATTCAATTAATTTTATTCTGTGCTTAACATCCTTACAGTGCACCAAACAGGGCTGCAGTTGCTTAAAGCCCAGCCTCAGCGTGACTAACTCCCACAGCACTGCTCAGGGCAGAGAGTAAGAATTTTTATGACTGGTTCTGTGAGGCGAGTTATTCTCTCTACTTGCCTGTGGCTCCCACCTTAGAGGCTGCCATATGACACCACAGGCTAAGTAAGGTTAATCAAATGTGGTGCTATCAGCATCAAAACCACTTCAACAAATGAAGCAAACTGGAGTTCACAGGCACCCAGCACTGCTGAAAATCAAAGCCCTGGTGGTTACACAAGATGGTCAGAACTGTTTGTAGACCAGCTGACAGTCACATCTTGCAGAGATGAACAGAGCAGTACACATTCATCCCACATATTAGATATCTAGCAGAGGCACCTCAGAGAGGACTGGAGTTGTTCTCAGTTCCTTATGCTCTCCGATGAGCATGTACAGCTCCTTGGGATGATGCAGCCCAAGTTAAAGTCTGAATTGCACCCTGGAGATGCACCTTACTGCTTACTCTCCAAAAGGAAGCATGTCAGGTAGAGTGTCAAGCACTGAGAGATGAATCAAAGACAAAGTATCCTACAAGATCATGGAGGGGGAGCCACCTCTAACTAAGCTCCAAATCATCCAGCCTTTCCCATTTTCTGCAGTGGGCTCTTGGAACAAACCCTTGTTTCTTCCACACAGTAGTGCATTTGGGGCCTTTAGCTCTTCATCACACTTCTGAAGAAAGTGTGATAGGGCTTTTCTAATCAACAAGTCACTACATCAAGCACAACCCTAATGGATTTCACAGGAGAATTAATACTGAGATAATTCTAGGGTTTTTTGTTCTCTGTCAGCAAAGAAACTAGAAAGCTTACTGCTTATGGCCATATTCTCATAAAACTTAAACATGGCAGGAAATTAATTCCAACTAAATAGCCGAGTGAACTGCATCATCACCCCAGAATTCAAAAGTCATGTGTGAGAAATTAAGCATTTTGATTTTACTTGAAAAATTCTGTCTGCTGCTGGGTGGGTCTTAGAGGCAAGAAAACCAGTTTATTTGAATAACAGGCTCTATACTTTTTATAGAAGCTCTGTACCTAAACTGAAACTGGTGCTGTCTTTGATACTGCAGAGCCAGGACTATTTGCTTGGCAGCATAGCCACAGATGGAAGACCTGAATCCCTGCATACCTTTCTCTTTAAAGACCTGTGTGAAAATAGTGGGAGGAATGGCACCCTATATAATCTTATTTAAGAGTTATTTATATGTAAAAGAATACTTATGATGTCACATATTCACACCCTCCATTAACCTGGGTTAATATGGCTCATATTTACATTTGAAGAATAAGATTTATTGTGGAAAATGGGAACCCTTGACCTTAGGTGCATCTGGCCAATTAATGACTTCAGATAGTGAGTCCAGTAAATAAATGACACCTTTCCACACTCCATCCCAGGCCTGCTGCTGAGTGCTAGACTCTAGCACCATTTCTCTTCAATGGAAAAAAAAATCTTTTGCCCTTATGCTAGAAACTCAAATGCTTTTCCCCAGATAACTCTGTCCCTGGGCTAACCTGCTTGAAAGCAGAGACACTGCACTCTGGTAGAGAGGGACTAACCACTTTTGAAGATCCCCTATGGCTGTAAGATTACATTATACTCTGATGCTTTCCTAAAAGGACTCAGAACTAACCTGTTTTCGGTACAAAGTCATCCACTGCCACGTGCCTGAATCATTGTACTCAAATCTGAGCTCCAGTGTCTTCTTCACTCTCCCTCCTTTGTAGCACCCTGAAACAAACAAACAAACAAACCAACCAACAACCAATGAACAGAAGAAACAGCTAAAAACAGCATTTAAGGTTCAGAATCTGTCAATGAGGTTCACTGTACGCAGTATATAAATAAAACAGCTGAAGATCTGTACCAGAACACTTCTCCTGAGGGAGGCAGCAAGTGGGAGGTAGGATGGGGGAGCCTTTACAAGCATAAAGATGGCTAAAGCAGTTCTGCTCCCACACAAAACTCTTTGCCAACTCGACCTCCAACAGGAAGGGAAAGGGGCAGGTAAAGTATGACATGGAATGCCAGGGAAGGGAGAAAACCTTGCAGAGTAAGGCTAGATGGTTTACTGCTGTAAAGGCTGACAAGGGAATATGTTTCAGGACAAGCTTGGAGGGGAATACAGGCAGAGGGGAAGGATTTAGAACAGACCACCTCCTTCCCCCCAGACCTGCCCATCCCTGACAGCCTTAGTTTTCATTAAGAAAAAGTTAATTCAGATACAAAGTCAGTGAAGTACTTACAAGAAAAGTAACCTGCCAGTTTCTTAACCTGTTGATTTCAAAGCTGACCTCTTTGGTTTGGTTAGCAGGCAGTTTTAGGTGGCAGTTAATCTCATTATTGCCAACACAGATGTCAGCTGAGCAGCCTTCTGGATAGTCACAAACGCAAGGACCAAGCCGTACATATCCATAGAACTGCATTTCTCGAATCAGCTCCAGCAACTGCACCAAAAAGACAGAACTGAAGTGATCTGCTGTAAAGGCAAGTGAAATGAGGCCATTTTTTCAGATTTACAGGATTCCTAACGCTCTTTCTCCTGGGAGGACACAGATTCACCACAATACGTCAGTGCCTGATTCAGAGAATTAAGTGCTCACAGTCCAGATTAGGAAACTTGATTTATTTTTTTTTACTGGATATGATAAGTTGGGACTTTTGGATGCTTATCAGATGGGATGATGGGAAGAGATAAAACTAACCAGTAAGAAATACTGAGAAGAGCAGTCCCAGCAGTCTGAACTTCCATCTAATTTCCTAAACTGGATGACAAACCTTTGCACCTGAGTTTAGCAAATAAAGGAGACTAGGATTCACAGGCAAAAACTTCTTTTTAGCCCTTGGGATCCAAGTCATTCTGTTGGGATATTTAAAAATGCTGGCAGAGATGGGATCCTCCTTTTCTATTTAGTGTCTCAGTATCTGACCAGGAGATAGGAGACCTGGGTCTCTACTTCAAACCACTCCACAGAACCATACTCTGTTTTTAAAGTCACAGCCTCTAGTATCATTGCTTCAAAAACCACTCCTTTGATCTGCTTAGATTGTTTTTAAAATACCATTTTACCTTTGCTTTGTTTGTATTTTTTGGTAGAAATTTAAGTTCCTGCATCTGCCCTTCTGTTGGTTTAACCCAATTCCTCTTAACTTCCTGGATTGCCTTAAAAGAATTTTTAAAAATAGCAAAAAGAGTCAGCAAAAATGTATTTCCTTTCACACACAAACACTCAGAAACACACACAGAAAGCTTTTTTTAAAAAAAACCAAAAAAAACCAAAAAAAAACCAAAAAACAAGGACTTTGATTTTGGGACAACTTTACTCTACACTGTTCTTTTCTCCTGAATGAATAGGTTCCAAAGCTGGTATAACTCAACATGCCTACAGTTCAGAATTCAGATGTTGTCATATCATGGCAGAGTGCCTACATATAGAGATGTACAGATACATACATAGAGTGGACAGACACCTAAATACGGCCTTTTTGTGCAATACCTTTTCCATGCACAAAATATAGATGAGTTAGAATCTCTAGTACATCAGTTAAAAAAAAATTTAAAAAGAAAAGAATATGATCAACAACAGCAATACCCAGCACTTAGAAAAACAAAACAAAGCAGTGCTAAACAGGAACCATTTACAAACATTTAAGGAATTTGTATAAAAGATGAAATTACTGTGGGAAAGTTAACTTTTAAAACTCTAAAGACCTTTCAGTTTTACCTGCATGTATAGCAAATTCAGTGAAGCTCTACAATCTACAAAGTGTATCAAGAGAAAGATCCATATACCTTTTCCATGCCAAGGGAAAAAAGTAACAAAATATGAAGATATGCTTCTAAATATGGCATTTTGACTTTTCAGCTAAATATAATGGGAGCCAACCCAGAAAGATTCCATCACTTACCAGATCTAAAAAACAAAACAAATAAACAAACAAAAAAACCCAACACAACAAAAAACAGTTGTGCCCTTGAAGTGTGTACTATACTCATTCTTTATACATTGAAGCAGAATGGAAGTAAACTAGTCAGGTTATCCAGTCTCTCCACTTTGATTTTAATGGTACCAAACATAACAGTTACAATTTAGAACTAAAACTTTCCTCCTTTTCTCAAACAGTTTGGGGTTTTTCTACCTAAAAGTTGGTAACACTCTCAGAGCATCCACTGCCATGTCACAATGCTGACATACAAGACCTAGTTTTAAGCTAGCTGGCTATAGTGCCAACTGATGCTGAACTGCTGTGGGATCAGATCAGTAGAGGAACAAAGCAAGTTAAATATTCAGTTATCCAAGTGCCATGCTGCAACAACTAGCTTGAGCCATTTTATTTAAAAGCAGCTTGGGAAAGTCTACATGACAGTACAGAGCAGTGCAAGGCTCCACAGCTGGTGCAGCTGTATCACTGCCATTGCACAGGTGACGTGCCTCCTGCAGCACAGAACAACCCAAGGACTGCCATTTCCTACCTCTGTGCTTTGAGTCCCTTTGTCGTGGCTTAGTACCAGGCAGTGCTTTCATTAGGCTGCTAGGTTCACCAGTTTATAAGGGCACATATAGAAAACAGAGAAAGCTTTGTAGAGGCGAAGGTCTAGCGCAGTAGATTTAAATCAGACAAGTTACAAGCGTCAAACAACAGGTTTCTGTGTAGCTTTGAGCCAAGTAACCTTTCTCACTGTCACCAAAGGCCTGGTCTGTTCTTCCCTTCTGCTCCCAGACACAGTCCTTGCTCTAGCATTCATCTGATACAGCCAATGCAACTCACTGAGCATGCACAAATCTATTCCCTTTTTTCTTTTTCATTATAGGGAGCAGTAGACCAGACCACAACCACAGCAGTGAGCCATTAGACTGGCTCAGCTGTACTGCCTAACTGCACCCTCAGGGCACTGTTTGACAAGTGGGGACACTTTGGCACCAGACTCCCTGTCCCCAGGGTTTATCCTCACCCACAAGTCAGCACAACTGTTTGCCACACAGCAAACAAGACTGGGGGACTGACTCAGGCCAAAAATAGGCCAGGAAAACCAAATAAAAAATAAATGGCCAGCGAGTTATTTTTAGGCCAGCTTGGCTCACCAGTCCAGTTCACCATGTCTGCCCACACAGCTCTACCAGCATAACTGAGGAGGAGCCCAAGGTGTGAGCCAGCAAAAGAGGAAGGATGTTCTGCTGCTTAAGCCAGGCCATTTACCAAATGAAATGTTCAAGCTATTGCCTCAGGTATTTTGTATATTAGAATACAGAAATGAGTACTTTAGATAAAAAGTAATCCATCTCTGCCCAGACAGCACTGCAGCTTGCAACTCAGAACTCAAAGTTCTCTTTTTACAGCTGTATTCCCATTTGTGGTCACTGCATTACACAGGTATAAAAATTAGGGGGCAATCAGCCACTAAACACCTCTCTATAGATTCTGAAAGAGCCAGAATAAACAGCTAGCTGCAGCAAAGGACACTTCAGGAATATTACAGTGATAAAAATTTAAAACACACAGGGCCACAGAAACCAGTCAATTCCAGTAACAAATTGGCCTCAGAGAAAAACAGTCAAGCTGCTGAGGCTTGAAGACTTTGTAATTAAGTTATTCAAGGGATTTCTTTCTGTTTATGGCAGTTGTTACACATCTGGGTAGTGTCTCTTAACCTTGCTCACCACGTTCTGATTCCAAGCCTACAGTGCAACTCTTTCATGCTCTGAAGACTCACATATGGAAGTTCAAAGTCTGCCACTTTTTCACCACTGGGAAAACAAGAAAAACCACAGAGACGTTTGGTAAAATCTAGTGAAATAGCCCAGCTACTTTCATGTATCAGTTAGTGCTGGTTAGCAACGTGCTTTTGGAGAAGAAAAATAACAACTATAAATTCTGGGGTAAAGTGAGGTGACAAGTTAGTTATCTTCCTTACTTCTGAGTCTAAATTTACATAGCTGTCTTACAGAATATCTCTACTCTCAGGCTATGTCCTTATAGAATAACCTTCCCTCAAAACACAGCTAAGCACAATAGATGTTTCTGCATTTAAAGGACACGTGGATGCAAGCTTCCAGGACTGATGCTTTTCTTGAACAGGACACCAGACAAGAGCACTCTAACTAATGTACAGCAAGAAAAGCACGTCACTCTTCAGAAGTCACTACTTTCCTGCACACTTTAAAAAAAATATATGTCTAAAGGCCCAGACTTGTAAACATTTCCTTCAAAGCCAACACCACAATTCAGCAGAACACTTAAACGTGATTTTAAGCACATAAACATCTAAATATTTTTTGGCAATGGACTATGGGATACATTCAGACTTGAATGTATTTGTGAGGAATATCAAAGATGCACAGAAATGTAATCAATTGAAAAATGTTTCTATTCTACTGTGTATCTAATTGTATCACAATATAAGGCAAAAATTAATCCATCTGCAACTGCAGTAGAAGAGTATATAAAATGTGTTATATCCAGATAAATTTGAGACATAGAAACAGCCAGGGGTTCTGTATACTCAGAGACACCTTTCACACCTGGAGAGAAGGGGGCAGGGGAACGATAAATAGAATAGACAGTAAAGTTCCTAACCTACTGAGTAAGCCCAAGTTTACCACTGGAATTTCACCTTGAAAAGGTTCTTAGAATCACAGAATGGTTTGGGTTGGAAGGGACCTGAAAGATCATCCAGTTCCAATCCCCCTGCCATCAGCAGGGAAACCTTCCACTAGACCAGGTTGCTCAAAGCCTCATCCAGCCTGGCCTTAAACACTTCCAGGGAGGGGGCATCCACAGCTTCCTTGGGCAACCTGTTCCAGTGTCTGACCACCCTCACAGTAAAAAATTTCTTCCAATATCTAATCTAAACCTCCCCTCTTTCAGCTTAAAGCCATTGCCCCTTGTTCTAGCACTACCTGCCTTTGTAAACAGTCCCTCCCCAGCTTTCTTGTAGGCCCCTTCAGGTACTGGAAGGTTGCCTGCTTCTCTCTGGAGCCTTCTCTTTTCCAGGCTGAACAGCCCCAACTCTCTCAGCCTGTCCTCATAGAAGAGGTGCTCCAGCCCTTGGATCATCCTCATGGCCTCCTCTGGACTCTTTCAGAAGAGCATTATCACCTTTATGCCAATGAGAAGACTGAAAAAAGCTAAAGGACTTGTCAGGGCCACACAGAGAGGTGGCAATGCCCAGCTTCACTCCAGTCAACAGCAAAGACAGCGTTCATGTCCCTGATGTGGCCTGAGTCTATCCCAGGCCTGGATCCAGCCTCCTCCACACACCCGCCCACATGGGAAACAGGACGTCAGCAGACCAATGAGGACATACAACCCCTTCACCTTTTATGACTGAAGAGACTCACAACCCTGATTTATAGCTTGGTCAGTACCATTGTGGTTGAACTTAAAACTTCTATCAGTTAAGAAAGGAAATATGTCATGATATAAAGGAAAGTAAGCCACAGACATTGTTTATAAATATAACAAGAGTTTCCTGTCCCATTGTTGAATTCAGCATATGATCTGCAAATTAAGAACTGTTTATGTAGCTATGGCCACCTGATTAAATGCCTATCCAGAAGGTACACCAAATAGTTCCCATGTGCTAAAGTTGGTACATGTCTTGTAAACTGCAAGGGACAAGGTGTTTGTATGTGAAAGCCTCACCGCTGCATCACACTACCTATTGCTATTACTTTGTTTCCCA